CCCTACCCTGGCTGAGATCACCCCAGCCCAGAGCTGCATGGTTGACTGTTCTAGTCCTCCACATGGATGTTTTCATGTACGTCGTGGTGCCACCACTGTCCAAGCTCAGAGCTATCACAGATCAGCAGCAGCAGACACTGTTTTTGGCTTTCCAGAGATGCACCTAAGGAAATAAGCTATAGCTGAAAAAGGGTGCGCATTTGGCTAAGGGATACGATTGTAGAAGTTCATTGAAATTTCATTAGAAATTCATTGCCATAAATTTCATTAGAAACTCACTGCCATGCATGTAGATACTGAGCGAGCGCAAAATGGATTGTTTCAAGAGCCGAGATTTCACATCGGCGAAATTCAGTTGGCAGAGCCTTGCAGCCTTAAGAAACTGTTGCTGGAAGCTTCGTTGCTGCACGGACCAACTTCCAGGGGCAGCCGATTGCATCCAGATTCAACTCTTGACCACATATACAAGATTGCACGACACTGGTTTGCCAATGGTTTGCTTTGGACTTTAGCGACCATGGATGTCGTGCCCCAGACCGTTTGTGTGCAGACACATCCCAGGAATCGCATTGCAGGCGCAGTGGTTCCGTTCATCCCTTGTCAACAAGTGCCTTCAAAGGGTTCACACTCAATAATGAAGGGCACGAGCGCTGTTCCTTGAAGCTGCTCACGGCAATAAGTGCGCTCTGATGGGCTGTCCCGGGGCGAATGTCCCTGGGGAAGCACTGGAAAAAAGGGTGCAAAAATGGAATCCGCGGCCGCCAGCATCAGATTGCCACGTGATTTCCGAACCCTTTCGCGTATTTCGACGCGGAGACCCCGCGCGCTGCCCATCCCGATGCAAGGCGCGCTGTTGGCACGTCGCACCGGCGCAGGCGTCCACGGATGCGTTCAAGCGCGGAACATGAGGGTCGCCGGTCGCCCCTACCTTCGATCCGACGGCGCAGACGCATGGCCTCCGTTGCGATGATCTTCGCCCTCTGGCGAAGCTCTCGATGCTGCGGCCCGCTCGTGGTGTGTGGGGGAAGAGCACATTCCCAGTCGGGGTTGCGTGGAGTGCGGCGGGCGTCATTGGGTTTTGCAGATTTGCCTTCCCAGCACGGACAACTCGGTGTGCGCGTTTTGTAGGGCAAGGTGTGGCGATTTTCTATGTACCCCGCCGGAACCACGTACTCTGTCATTAAGAGCATCTTTATCGGTCGGTACTATTGCACCGGCGGAGGTATCCATGGACGGTTCTCATTGGCTGCCATGCTCCCTTACTAAAGTGGCATTTGCCGAATAGCACCGGTGTTATTGCTCCCCTGCGCGCATCCGCAATGGTGGGTGCTATGCCAATGCCGAATAGCATCCCTGCAACACTATAAGAGCATCTTTATCGGTCGGCGCTATTGCACCGGCGGAGTTATCCAGGAACGGTTCTCATTGGCTGCCGTGCCACCTTACTAAGGCGGCATTTGCCGAATAGCGCCGGTGCTACTGCTCCCCTGCGCGCATCTGCAATGGTGGGTGCTATGCCTACACCAAATAGCATCACGGCAGCACTACAATGTTCTGCGGGAATAGCACCGGTGCTATTCTGGGGTGCCATTCGGCCCCGAGCGGTGCTATTCGGGGCCGAAATAGCGCCGCTCGGCGCCGAGTAGCTCCGGGGGTGCTATTGGGGTGCTATTGCTCCCCAACCGTTAGAGCATCTTTATCGGTCGGTGCTATTGCACCGTCGGAGCTATCCAGGAACGTTTCTCACTGGCTGCCGTGCCACCTTACTAAGGCGGCATTTGCTGAATAGCGCCAGTGCTATTGCTCCCTTGCACGCATCCGCAATGGCACGTGCTATGCCTACGTCAAATAGCATCACGGCAACACTACAATGTTCTGTGCGAATAGCACCGGAGCTATTCTGAGGTGCTATTCGGCCCCGAGCGGTGTTATTCGGGGCCAAAATAGCGCCGCTCGGCGCTGAATAGCTCCAGGGGTGCCATTGGGGTGCTATTGCTCCCCAACCGTTAATGATGGTTTTTTGACGTGCGGTGCTGTTCGGATAGCCGAATAGCTCCACTGGGACAATAGCACCCACCGATAAAGATGCTCTAAGGATACCTCATTTACCTGATTATGGAGGTTTATAAGCGCTGGAGCGTTTGGTAATTGATTGTGTAGATTATGAGATGTACCCTGCCCGTGCGAAGACGTAGTAATGGTATTGAGGACGTGCGATGCCATGTGAGAGCGTACTGCGAGTACTGTTGATACCAAGTGCCCTTGTGAGGACGAACCGGAAGGCCTGATGACAGAAGATGACCCTTTATGAGAGTGTGTTGAGGGCCCGATGATGCGCCACCCCACACGGCTGCTGGCGATGCCTGGAGGACGGGCTGGACAATTGAAGATGCATCGGATGAGTAGAAGACGTGCCCAGCCCCTGGAGATGAAGTTGGCGACTTTGGAGATGTGCCACACCTCCGGAAACACCCCGAGGCGATGAGTGAACCCACCAGGCTTTCCATGGGAGCGCCGGAGGTGGATTTCTGCATGCTTAGGAGGACGAAGTATGGTGGGTGCCGCACCCGTACGAGTTCTAGTAGTTTAAGGTGGCCGACTACTGCGGGTGTTGCACCATGTGCTTTGGCACAGCGTGGGGATTCAGCGGTTGGTGCCGTGGCTAGAGTGATGGGAGTGGTAGCATCCTGAGTGGTGTGATTCTAAGGGATTAAGGCGGTACAAACGGTTCGGTTGGGTAACTCGGGTCAGTAGTTTAGTGGGCGATATTTCTGCTTTGGGGCTTGGGTAATGCACCCAGTAGCTTAGAACAGGTTCGGGACCCTGGGTATCGCGGGCTAGTACATAGACCGGGACATTCAGTACGTTGAGGCATGGTGGCGCACCCAAGGGCGAGGTAAGGGGTACCGTGTATGGATTTGATGCGACCTTTCGTAGGTGCACGGTACCAGCGCCGCACCAAGCGACGTGGGTTATTTATGGACGAGCAACCTTGCTTGTAACCAACACGCGAACCTTGGGCCCATCTCGTTGTTCCTTGTGTGTCTTTTGGGGATTGTACCCCGCCGAACGATGAACATGCCGCGCTGACAAACGCCCATTGTGGGTGCACTTCGCCGTCGAGTTTAGCACAGACGGGCGAGCGTCCATTTTCGTGCGTGACCGGTTAATTTCCGGAAGATTCGCCATCTGGACGCCATTCCTGCGGTGGTTCGATGCTCGACGCCACACAAGGCGCCATATGGGGATTTCAGCACTAGCAGAAATGCAACGATTAGAAAGAAGCAGAAGGAATGCGCCAATTATCTGGCATTATTATTAGTCCTTGGAAATATCCCGAAAATAGACATTAGGCAGTTGATAAGACTGATGAGGGAACTTTTGCACGGTCCTGATCAAGCAGAAGATCAGAATAGCTGAATTGGACAGCCTGGTTTTTATGCTTGAGAACAGTTTGTTCAGCCGAATCTGTTCCGGTGCAGATGAGAAGATGGCAGAAACAAAGAGTTGGTGTCAAATCCTGCGCCCTGAGACTACCAACCCATCGAGTGGGGTATGAGCGGTGTTGGCTTTGGGTGTGCGATATTTGTGCAATGATGTTTGACTGGCAAGCCTTCTCAGGAGCTGAGCTGGCATTACTTTCCAGCTTTCTGGTACATCACTCAAGAGGACACTGCGTTGCAAGAATCTAAGGCGCCTATGAAGTGACCATACCAGAAAGAAATGGAAAATGAGAAGCGAAACAAGAAAAACCAATGCTTGATTGGGAAAGATAGAAGGTTAGCTAAAAAGGCTACCTGTCAGCTCAATGCGCATCACCCCCCCCTGATCGCCTTCCCACAGCAGTCAGTACTCGAGCAATAGTGGGAGACTTCTGATTTTTAAGAGCTCACCATTTGTAGATCGGTGGAGCAGGTGGTCAGTTGCCATGTTCTGCCCCTGCAATGAACATTAGGCTGCTATCCTAGTAGGTAAAGATAGTTGGCTTGGGTGCTGAAGTGAATGTGGGGATGCAGGTGACATGTGCGTTTTTTGCTCGGAGCTGCGGCCAAAATGCACACACATGCACTCAGCCAGATAGCTTAGGATCCTGCCACACTGAATGGGCCTTCGGGAAGCGGATCCATCTATCAACAGTCTGTACTTCTCCAGACCTAACAGAACCCTGTCTGTGCAGTTCAGCATTCACACATCGGCCCTTACCAATTGCCAAGTTCCGCCTTGGGTGGGTCCAGACGTCTCATAGAACTTCCCAACTCGATGCTGTTGCTTGTGAGGCTGCCATGTAGAAGGTGGACAAAATGGAGCCTGTCACTGGATGAAGGACTGTCTGACTGAGAATTCTTACTCACATGGTGCCAGATACTATGCCACAATCTCCTCTGAAAGGGCAGCCCCAATGTCGTAACTGCCTGTCATGTGCTGTGATGTTGCATCCAACTCCAGAAATTGCTGCTGGTAACTACTAGAATCGACACAAGGACTGGCAATTAGAGGATGCAACACCACATTGCAATTCATTTGCAATATATAATGGACCGTTGAGCGCCGCTTCCTGGTCAGGCCCATGCAATCAGCCGGTGCTCAAAGCACTCTTGCAACGGCGGGTCATCAATGCCTTGAAAATGTAAGTTTCACAACTGTTGTCTGGACCGCCGTGTGGTTCAAACAAGTGACCAAGGAAAGATTGACATTTTGCCAACTTGAAATAATGCATTCGCACAACTAATGTATCAAATGATCAACAAATACGGCACACCTGTGCAACGAGGTTGCCACCAGCTGCATATTCCATCTAATGGGAAAGGCACTAACTAGTTGTATACAACAAATTCAGTGCTGCAATAAGGCACTCACCCTCGCCAGCGCAAAAGCCAAAGTTACTAAACTGAAGGTAGATCGAATTCTCTTGTGTTCCGGACACCTGCCAAGCCAGCCACACAGGCAGCCGCCGTCGCATGACAGCCTCGAATTTGAAAAGCACAATGAAAGTGGGGTTTCTATTCGCCTTCGCTTCCCCGTTTATTCAGATACCCTTTGCACATTTCCTCGCTGGCCTCCCACAGCTTCACAGCCAGCGCCCTATCCAATGCCAGCTCAGATGTTGGCATTATGGCACAGTCCACGTAATACTCCCCACCCTCCACTTCCTTTGCTGTGGCCAAGTACACTTGCGATCCCGCACCCTGGGAGATCGTTCTGTAGCCTGCCATTGTTTTGCGCAGCACCCAGAAGAACACCTTAACTACACGGCGGTTGACGTGCCTGAACGCATCTGTCTGGACAACTCCCGGGTGACAGCACACGGCTGTCACAGCTGACTTTCTGTCCTTCAACCTGCACTCGAGCTCCCTGAAGACAACAGGAACCATGGGTGGTTGTTTTCCAGGAGGTCGGCAGCATATACAACTCTTCGAAGACAGCAAAATGTCACAAACTGTGAGGTATCTTGAACTTTCCGGATCAGAAGTCAGTGGCATTTCTAATATGATAGAATCAGTAAGCGTTGATCGTATTGTACTTGAGGTATCAAGAGGGTTGAGAGGCTCCAAACCTCACCAGATCCAACTAGACAAAATCAAGAGACTGGAAAACCGCGATTGTGGGCAGAGCATTCAGAGTTGCAGTTGGCCGTTCTCCTTCTCAGTTTTTTCCATAGGCTTTTCCAGTGGCAGTCAGGTGTGTGACCAATGCACAGCAGCTCATGTGCTCCGCAATAAACTGTTGACTGCAACATGTTGTGCATGCACCATGAATGTGAGCCAATCTGAGCCAACTTCAGCAAAGGGGGAAATCAGGAAGCATGTCTATCAGAGGCTTCTGCTGTTGAGGCATGGGTACAGCATCATGGCCATTGACGCATTTGACACATCAGCAATCCCCCTTTGCCCTTGCCAGAAGCCAGCTGTAAACAACAAAACCCACACTGTGCCATTGGATCATCTGCTTCAGTCATTGTTCCGACAGTCGACGATTCTTTTTGCAAGCATTCTGAACCGAAAATGTTGAACTTTCATGGTTTGGGCATTCAACATTTCTTCTCCACATCTTCCCACTCATTCTATTGCTCTGCATTGAGGCAACATGCAGACCCCTTGAGCACTATTCTATCACCATTCGTGTTATTTTCTGTTTCCAACCTTTCTGGCTGCACTTGGAGATCCCTCCAGCAGCTTTGCAATGGGATGGAGTCGTAAGAAGCAGTGTTCAGTTGGGGAACTTCCCCACTACATGACATGCCAGCGCTGCCGAACAACTGCACGAATCTGTTGTCAGAATACTGTGTGATGGCAGTTCAGAATTGGGTTTGGTCAAGTGACAAAGCAAATTTCCCCAAAGGAGTGCATTTTTGTGACCTGGCACTCCACTGCCTCAGAGTGAGGTTCACCCAGATTAATACTGTCGCGGCATTTCACGCCATTGGCTGCTCCAAGCTGTCCAGGGGCGCGCCCCCTGCCGTCCTGAAGCTGGCCCCACCTGGTGAACAGGATGTTGGCCAGCTTGGACGACCCGTACGCCTTCATGGCGTCATATCCCTTCTTGCTGGCACCGCCCGATTCGAGCCGAAAACCGCCGGGGTATGGCGTGTGGTGCGATGCCGAGGAGACGGTGACCACACGGGACTGCACCCCGGACGCCTTGGCGGCGGCCTCCAGGTCGGGCAGCAGCAGGCGCGTCAGCAGGAAGTGTCCCAGGTGGTTGGTGGCGAAGTGCATCTCGTGGCCATCGGCGGACAAAGCGAACGGAGCGCCGGCCATCCCCGCGTTGTTCACCAGCACGTTGGGCGCCAGGCCCGTGGCCCGAAAGTCATCCGCGAACTTCTTCACGGACGCCAGGCTGGAGAGGTCCAGCTCCATGAACCGCAGCTTGGCGCCAGGGTTTCCTCCCCTAATCTCCGCCATCGCCACGTCCGCCTTGGCCTTGCTGCGCCCGGCCATCACCACCTCCGCGCCTCGCAGCGCCAGCACGCGCGTCGTCTCCTTGCCGAGCCCAACATAAGGCCCTGTCACGATAACCACGATGCCTTTGCCATCCCAGTCTTTGACCACCTCCTCCGCCGTAGATCGCCCTGTAAATTCGGACACCTTGACGCCCGACGACTTCCCAGAGTCGTTCAGCAACTTCAACATTCCCATAGGCTTGGACCGTCCCCCCCTGGTGCTGAAATGCGCCATCGCGGCTTCGCCCCCAGGCAGGTGCAGTCAGGAGGGGGCGCAGGTGGCGCGGAAGGACTCGTAATTTGTATCCATGACCAGGTGTTAGCATCCAACCCCCAACCTCAACGGAGCGTAATCGAGGGAAGGAACGGATGGTGGGGAGGGATGTCTGTGGCTGGTGCTGGGCTGCGTTGCCCAGACTGGGCCAAACCACGTCCCCTGCGATTCGCGCATCAATGATGTCGATCGGGTCGGCGTGGGTGCCGCTGAGGGAGAATTTGGCAGGAGGCCCGCGAAAGACCGTGGGGTTGACAGGCTGCCGTTGGGGCTTTCAGCATAGGATCGCCGGGGATACCCATAGGATATCCATAGGATCACCGACATCGCGAGCCCCGATCACAGAAGCGATCGAGAAATCAAAGCCGCTCTGGTTTCTAGATTGAGTCAGCTTGCTCCCAGGCGGGCCAGAGCGGGTTCCGGTGACGCCCGCCAAGGGCGCCCCAAGGCCCAGCGCCAGGAACGGGCAGGCGACGGCGCTGGTCGGGACGGCCGCCTTTGTGAGACAGCATCTCGCAAGGTGGCCTACACACGCCGGGGCGCCGCATAGCGACGACGAACTTGGCCGCCGGCGCTTTCCCAGGGCGATGCCGGCTGGGATACATGATGGAAACTGCGATTGACCAATCACACAACAAAACCATGGGCTTTTGGCATTGGCAGCTGTGCGAATTGGGGACGGGCCTGCCTTTGCGGCGTTTTGCAGGCTACGGCGGTCCTCGTTCTTCGCATCGCTGAGGCAAACGCGCCTCGAGCTGTCCAAGGAACGCCTGTTGGCGCCAATCGCTAGTCGCCCCCACCTGGTGCAGGCCCATGTCCAGGCCGCTGGCTCCCGTGCAGAGGCCGACAAGTTTCAGCAATAGCATTGCCCACTAACAATATGGTGTTGTCAACAGTGTGGTGTCTTATATTGTCACTTGAACACGGCGATGCTGCTACCTGTGCACTGCATCTTACATCATTACAAGCCCATTTTTGGGCATTTCAAGATCAATGTTTTAAAAAATTCCTCTGTGTACTCCTTGGATCAGGGGTCTATATTGCATTAGTATCCACCGATCATTTGGGGGTCCAATACACGCCTACTAATACCATGTAAATACGGTAGTATGTGTACCGCAGATCATAGAGGATAGCACCCTCCAGCGTTGAGCATCAAGGCTGGAGTCAAGAATGCTGAAGGGGGGGAAGGGGGGGGGGGTCTGGCTATGTTGCGTAACCCCGCGCTAACTTGGGTAACCCCTGCGTTTCGCATCAAGCAAACAATCGGTTACGACTCTACATTACCAAATTGACCACTAGACCAGTTTAACACACTAAATGCGAACCCAAGATAGGACGCCAATAACCATGAAGTGGGAGGACGTCACCGTAACATTTTTGCGCATTCCTGCACTGTGTCGCAATATCTTTTGACAGTGAATGGGGATATTCCATTGGCGAAGTTTTACAAAACCCCCGCGCTGCCTAATGCGCTCTGCAGTGGTGGCCATGTTCAACAACGCTAGGGGCGCTATCTAATGACCCCCGCGCTATTCAACACCCCCTGCGTTATCCTCCCCGATCTGCAGTACATCAAGCTTCCAGTTGGTCCGCTTTGTATGCATTCTATTTAGGCCATTCACTAATCGCCCTTCACCAAGTCCTTGTCTCACTTCCTGTGCCTCTGTTTGTGTACACAATCATGTACACACATATCTGTATACCTCTGTACGTATGTACTTTCTTCGAAAGGGATCATGGTGACGCCATCGCTGAGGCATAATCGGGCCGCTCTTGCAACATTGTGTGCAAGCCATCATTGGCTCGAGGGCGTGAGGGATTACTAAAATTTGACGGCTGTGATTTGGGAAGAATATCATTTCAGACCATTTCATATGACCAAGGGAACGAACGAAGTGCAGTCAACCCACAGTGAACAATGAAATGATCCAAATTTAGTCCAGTCAAAATATTATATTTTGCACAACCACTGAATCAAACAATCAAAAACAAGGCACCCTTGTGGGCAGGGGTACCCCTGCGGGGTAGCAGGGATACCAGGGTGGCCACCGGTGGCCACCAGCTGCCTATTTCATCTAACGGGGGGCAGCAACAATGTATTGACGACAGCAAATGTAGCACTGCAACGAGACGCTCAACTTCGCCAGTGCAAGCACCAAAATCACTGCACAGAGCGTAGGTCGAAACCTTGTGTCTTCTGGACAACAGATGAGCCACGCAAATAGATGTGGCATCCTTAGGATTCTGAATTCGGGAATTTAGCCCAATTGCGGACTTCTAGTCACCTTCGCTTCCCCATTTTTTCTGGTGTTCCTTGCATATTACCTAACTAGCCTCCCACAGCTGAACAACCAGCCATCCAACGAGAGCTCAGATGTGGGCATGATGACACAATCCATGTACTTCCTCCATCCCAAATCAAATGACCCAACAGATTTCAGCACTGCTTTTCCACCGCAAGGTTGCTTCCTACCTTATAGCAAGGCACATAAGTCTAGAGTATGCTATCAGAATTTCAGATGATTCTACGAAGTACAATGTTATTGCCGTCAGTTTGTATCCACGTCACTCACCCCCTGAAAACCACGGTGATCCACAGCCTCTCGGAAACTGGGGTTTTCTGATATGGTGAGGGCTGCCCCTTTGAGAGAGTGAACCACTGCCACTCGAGAAGAGCTGGCCATAGCGATTAGACTGAAGTTCGGCACAATCATTCTCAACCCCGGGGAGTAGTGAACCATCTTCCAAACGGCCTGACTCCACATCTCGCTTGGACGTATGGTGTTGTGGCCAATTGCGCCACGATGGATCAGATCCCAGGGGGGTGTTTTTACCCAATGATCGACGGGTCGCCACCGGCGCTCTGCGGATGCACCACAGGCCTGGTGGGGCAAGCGCTCAGTCCATGCGATGTGGGCCCTTCTTTTTGCATGGAGATCGGCCCCGGGCGGCCGCTTGGTGTCCGGTGGAGGCATGGAGGCGGAATGGAACACAGATTGATAGGAGCAGGTTCACACAGCTTTTGCGGCCCCGTGGATTTGAGGTTTCCACATAGACATTACAACAATCAACCGCATCATCACTGCAATTGTCCCATTGTACTTTGTACATCACCCGTCGCCACCCACCGGCCTAGTACTGCCCCAAACGCATACAAAATGCAAGAAAACATCCAGAATGACCGAGCTGCCTTAACCCCAAGTGGGCACACAACATGTGGGGGTATCCCAAAAATGCTTCGCAGAGCTGTGAAAACATTTTGGGAGCAAGTAGACAAGCCCGGCCCCCTCAACGGCATCACCAATGCAAAGGTAAGTGCAATAGACTTCTGTAGCGGCTCAGAAGCTACATTGATGTATGAATATCAGTTTCGTAATGTGAAAGAAAAAGTGTTGGCGATCGTGTTGTACAAGTGCTGGAACATTTGGGGCATGGCGATGGTGATGGCAATCCCAAGGAGCACTTTGCGCCGAGCACTGCATGAAATGAACGCTGGGCACACAACTAGATGGATCAAGCCGTGTTTTTTGGAGATGCCAAAATCAATAGGCCCGCTTTTGTAATGTCCAAAATCGAGAAGAAAGGAGATATGCATATTTTGGGATTGCCAGGCCACCATTCATATTGATGAGAAGTGGTTTTACCTATCCAAAATGCAGAACGTGGTGTGGTTTCCGGTTGATGTATGGGTGATATACCTGCCGAGGCGCCTAATGAGGCTGCGGGGCCTTCTCTTCCAGATGGGTGGCAGGCTTTTCATGGTGCGCATGTCTTTGGGTATGTTGCATGAGACAAGGCCACGGGAATGGCTGGGCGTGGGGTGGTTGTGCACGTAATGGGTGCGCGATACTGTGCAACCTGCAGGCGCAGCCGTTGGGGGCGGGAGAGCGGGCAGCGATGGAATTACATGCTGCCATGTAGGATCAGTCACATGACCCCCTCTCGCAGCGGTATGCAATTGAGAGATCAACACTTGAATGTAATTGTGCAAACAATATCTCATTCGCCTATATAATATCAATGGCTCTTAAGCACTGACGATGTAATTGGCCATATCTCCTGTACCCCTAATACGTTTAGGGTGAGGCAAAGACATATAGAAAAGTTAAAAGCCTCCTCTATCAGATTTGGGTACAATCTCTTGTTTTTTATCATTTCTTAATGTGCCTTTAGAGTAAACCACCTAACACCTATTGGTCTACACAACAGAGTAGGATTGGATATTCTATGATGGGGGGAACTTCATAAAATTTTTGTGGAGCAGCATGAAAAATAACGCTCTAAAATAAATGCGAAGTAAAAGCATAGCGGTAGAATTATTTCAAGAGCAAGGATTGAATATTATATGGTAATCAGTCCGTCCTCAAAGCGCTCTTGCAACATAATGTGCAAGCCATCATGGCGTCGAAGACGCAAAGGATCTCTACAGATTGGCGACAGGGATCTGGTCCCTACATCATTTCCGACATTTGACCAAAGGAACGGTTGGGGTATAGTCGACCGAGAATGAGGAAATGATCAAAATTTAGTCCACCTCAAATTTTGCATATCCCACAACCAAGGAATCAAAGGATCAAAAATATGGCACACTTGCGCAGAGGTGGCCACCAGCTGCGCATTCCATCTGATGGCGACGGCAACAACGAGCAAATGCAACGATATGCTCTGGTAATCAGAACTTTCTGCGGGCTGCACAATTGGAGCACTAGGTCACCAATAGCCCTGCATCGCATTTCTTGTGAATGGTCCCCGACGTTGGAAAGGCTCAGGGACAATTCACTTCGCTTTCATGTAATACTGGAATTTCAACGACAAGCTCACTTTCGCCAGCACAACCACCAAAACTACTGCAATGAACCAAAATCGAATTCCTGCGCCTTCCGGACAACAGCTGACCCATTTGGTTAGCTGCCGCAGCCCCAAGACTCTGAGATCTATAATTCAGCGCCACTGTGGATCTCTAGCTGCCTCGGCTTTCCCACTTTTTGGAGTATTCTTTGCACATCTCCTCGCTCGTCTCCCACAGCTTGACTGCCAGATCCCTATCCAACGCGAGCACAGACGTCGGCATTATGGCGCAATCCATGTAATACTCCCCACCGTCCACTTCCTTTGCCGTAGCCAAGTACACTTGCGATGCAGCTCCCTGGGGAACCGTCCTGTAGCCTGCCGCCGTCTTGCTCAGCACCCAGAAGAACGCATCGACGAAAATACGGTTAAGGCGCCTGAAGGCGTCTGTGCGGACGACTCCCGGGTGACAACACACCGCGGTCACGGCCGATTTTCTGTCCCTCAACCTCCATTCGAGTTCCCTGAAACGGTAGGAAGCATTTTATTTTCAGGAAAATCCCCAACTGGTGACAGTAAACGCGCTGACGCAGTGTCTGCTTCTGATGATGACGTAACGGAGTAAAAACCGTTGTCCAGAAAATTGGCACATGCAGCGCGCAAAGTCAGCAAATCTTCACAAATTACAAGTCAATGTCGAATTTTCAGCGGCATCAGTAAATGCGTCACAGCCATGAAGCATGGATGGTATCTATAAGGCTGAGAAGCTTCGTACGCCACAAACTCTATCCTAGACACAGACAAGAGGAAGGAGAACTGCAATACACCTAGTGGAAAGCAATTAGCCAGTGCGTTTCCTTTGGTCTTCTCACCGGCTTTGGCGCTGGCATTCTGAAGGGTGGCCAATGCGCAGCAGCAGCTGTGCTGCAGGATAAACTGCTGAATGCCACATGTCGAGCTTGCGAGATGAAGGTGTGCAGATGTTATTCAACTCAAGCAAAAGGGTGCTGAGAATCTGAGATTAAGCTCTCCAGAAATTTATGCTGCCGCGACAGGAAGAAACCGCGTCAAAGGCAGATTTCCATTAGATGCATCATCAATCCTTCTTTGCCCATGCCACCGCCTAGTTTTAAACAACAAAAGTTCACAATTTTGGCCATCTTCTAGCCTTTCTGTCATATTTCTTATTCTTCCATATGTATTCTTGCATGCTGTTTGAATTGGTAATGGCGACCTTTCATTGTCTGGGCGTCCTGCCTTTCTTTTGGCAAACTACCGACTAGTTCAGAACTAGTAGGTAGAATCTACCGATCACCAGTCATGCTACTCCCTGTTGGCCACCTTTCTGGCTGCGCTTGGGGGTTGCTGCAGCAGCTGTGCAGTGGAATGGAGCATTAGTGAAAAATTGCCAAAATTCCCACTGCCCCGAACAACTGCGTGAATCAATTCACACATTGCTGGTGCAGGCAGCTCCGAAGTTGAGCCTCCCTGGAGGTGCAATTTCCGTGAGCCAGCGGCGCCCTCCATGGCTCGAGAGCCTCATTGTGATGCTCACTCAGCTCAAATAATGGTACACCACTTCACTCCAAACACTGGCGCACTACCTCACTTCACGCTCTCTGCCGGCCTGCGGCCAGTCCCCCACCTGGTGAACAGGATGTTGGCCAGCTTGGACGACCCGTACGCCTTCATGCCGTCGTAGCCTTCCTTGCTGGGACCGGCTGTTTCGAGGCGCAGACCACCGGGGTATGGCAAGTGGTGCACCGCGGACGACATCGTGACCACGCGGGACTGCACCCCTGACGCCTTGGCGGCGGCCTCCAGGTCGGGCAGCAGCAGGCGCGTCAGCAGGAAGTGGCCAAGGTGGTTGGTGGCGAAGTGCAGCTCGTGGCCATCGGCGGACAGGGTGAAGGGGACGCCGCCCAACCCCGCGTTGTTCACCAGCACGTTGGGCGCCAGGCCCGTGGCGCGAAACTCGCCTGCGAACTTCTTCACGGACGCCAGACTGGACAGGTCCAGCTCCATGAACCGCAGCTTGGCGCCCGGATTCTCTTTTCTGATCTCGCCGATGGCCGCGTCCGCCTTGGCCTTGCTGCGCCCGGCCATCACCACCTCCGCGCCCCGCAGCGCCAACACTCTCGTCGTCTCTTTGCCGAGCCCCACGTACGGTCCTGTCACGATCGCCACCTTTCCCGTGCCATCCCAGCCCTTGGTCACCTCCTCCGCCGTCGATTGCCCCGTGAATTCGGACACCTTGATGCCCGACCTTTTCCCTGTGTCGTTCAACACCTTCAGCTTTCCCATCGGCTTCGCCCGTCCTCCCCTCGTGCTGAACTGCGCCATCGCGGCGTCGCCCACAGGCTGTTGCAGTCACAGTACCAGCGGAAGTTGCAGTCCGTGGGTCGCAGGACTCGAACAAAGCGCCAGGAGGTTGGGGCACCACTTATGGGCGCCCACTTGGTCGTATGCACCAATTACGTCACGCTGGAAGGGCTCGTAAGTTCTTGCGGCACTCCTCGCGTTATGTTTACGAGGGCTGACGCCGCTGTCCGCGAGCAGCGTCCCATTGCTTCACGGTCGTGTCGTGCTTACGTGAAAGGGCGGTCCCTTGCGGGGATATTCCGTACTGTTGTGGTATATTACGTTCTATGACATTCACTGCACAGATGGAGCCGTGAAGGATGGGCTTACTGGATGGACTAAACGGATACAATGGACATAACAGATGGTTAATTTGCCGCTGCCCCAGGTGGCTCACTGATTTGAGGGCATGAAATTAGCCGCGCTGTCTTTCATGTGGATCCCATCTTGTTTCGAATACCTAAACCACTGACCCACTGACTAAAGTTGGCCTTCTCCTCGGAAGAGGATGGGTTCCGCACCGACAACACAGAGGGACTAGTACATTCTGCTGCTTTTGCTTCCCACATATACCATCCATCTTGGCATGATGTTCTTACACCCGTCCCCATTATGCAACAATACCCAGCCAATAAATTCAAAATTGGTTGCTGAAATCTAGCTTTACCTCCACTTCCAGCTCCTCACTATCGATGACGCCTTTCGGTTTGAGTCTGACACAGTGGGCACAGGGGATCTGCGCCACCAGAATTCCCCTAACACTGCCCACAATTCCGCACCTACATTCGCCTAGCGTACAGTCCTGGAGGTGGAGCTGGACAGCTTGAACATTCATCGGGATAAGCTGCCAGGGCACAGGTGGCCTGCATGGAGACGTACGGAGACGAAGACCTCTCTGTGGGCGTGCATCTTTTATACTTTTAATTTATGTGTTGTGGGGATTTGTGGGATTAGATGTGGTTGTCAGAGTGGGACAGGGAGTGACTGGACCCTTTTGGATGCCCCTTCGGGCATGGATACGGTTGCGGGTCCTGGCCATTTTGGGTGAAGTGGCCTCCTGGGGTGAACTTTTCGGTGACCTTTGTTTTTGTCGTATGGATATGTGAACGCTCATGTATAAAGCTGCGGGGGTGTGCAGTGTAGCCGCCCCCAGTCTGTAAGAGTTTTTGCCTTGCAATTGGTGTACCGAACAGGCCGCCTTGCGTGACGAGTGTGGGACATGAAGGTCGGGCGAGTGAATCCTTTGCAAGGGAGGAACTCAGTGTCTTGTGAAGGAACAGATTCCCGTGTGATTCGCAGACAGCTCAGGTATATGGTGCTTGCGCATGTCAAAGTCTGCTGCGTTTACACTGAAGGGTGGTGCCGTGTATCAGCACAGATCTTTACAATGCAGCTTAGGCAATTCACTGATCGCCCTTCACTAAGCCCTTGTCTCACTTTCTGTGCCTCTGTTCATGTACACAATAATATACACACATATATGTATACCTTTGTACGTATGTGGCTGTTCGTGGTCTTCCATACCATTGCTCTAGGCTCTTTTCCTAATCTTCGAAAGGGACCATGGCGACGCCATAGTTGAGGCATAATCGGGGTGCTCTTGCAACATAGTGTGCAAGCCATAGCTGGATCGAAGGCGTGAGGGATTCCTAAAATTTGACGGCTGTGATCTGGCAAGAATTTCATTTCAGACCATTTTATGTGACCAAGGGAACGAACGAAGTACAGTCAACCCACAGAGAACAATGAAATGATCCAACTTTAGTCCAGGTAGATTATTATATTCTGCACAACCACTGAGTCAGACAATAAAAAACAGGCCACCCTTGTGCGCAGGGGTACCCCTGCAGGGTACCACGGGGATACCAGGGTGGCCACCTGTGGCCAATAGCTGCCTATTTCATCTAAGGAGGGCGGCAACAATGTATTGATGACAGCAAATGCAGCACTGCAACGAGATGCTCAACTTCGCCAGTGCAAGCACCCAAATCACTGTACAGAGCGTAGATCGAGCCCTTGTGTTTTCCGGACAACAGATGAGCCATGTAAATAGCTGCCGCAGCCTCAAGACTCTGAATTCGAGATTTTGACGCCATTGCGGATTTCTAGTCACCTTCACTTCCCCATTTTTGCAGGTGTTGCTTGCATACTTGCCCACTAGCCTCCCGCAGCTGAGCAACTACCCCCTATCCTACGCGAGCTCAGACGTGGGCATGATGACACAATCCATGTACTTCCTCCATCGCAAATTAAATGACCCAATACATTTCAGCACTGCGTTTCCACCACAAGATTGCTTCCTATCCAAGAATGTACCCTTAGCAAGGCACATAAGTCTAGAGTATGCTATCGAAATTTCAGATGATTCTACTTGGCACAATGTAATTGGCGTCAATTTGTATCCACATCAATCACCCCCTGAAAACCACGGTGCTCAACAGCCTCAGGGAAACTGGGGTTTTCTGATATGGTGAGGGCTGCCCCTTTGAGAGAGTGAACCACTGCCACTCGAGAAGCGTTGGCCATGGCGATTACACCGAAGGTCGGCGCAATCATTCTCAAGCCCAGGGAGTAGCAAACCATCTTTCAAATGGCCTGACTTCACATCTCGCCTGGACGTATGGTGTTGTGGCCGATTGCGTCGCGATGGATCAGATCCAAGGGGGGTCTCCTTGCCCAATGATCAGCGGGTCGCCGCCGGCGCTCTCCGCGGATGTACCGCAGGCCCGGTGGGGCAAGCACTCAGTCCATGCGAGGTGGGCCCTTCTTTTTGCGTGGAGATCGGCCCCGGGCGACCGCTTGGTGTCCGCTGGAGACATGGAGGCGGAATGGAACGCAGATTGATAGGAGCAGGTTCACACAACTTTTGCGGCCCTTCGCATTTGAGGTTCTTACATAGACACTACAACAATCAACCGCATCATCACTGCAATTGTCCCATTGTACTTTTTACATTACCCGTCGCCACCCGCCGGCCTAGTACAGGCCCAAGCGCATACAAATACAAGAAGACACCCAGAGTGACCAAGCTGCCTTAACCCCAAGTGGGCACACAACATATGGAGGTATCCCGAAAATGCTTCGCAGAACTTGAAAACATTTTGGAAGCAAGCAGACAAGCCAGGCCCCCTCAACGGCATCAACAATGCAAAGGGAAGCGCAATAGACTTGTGTACCGGCTCAGTGATGTGAAAGAAAAGTGTTTGCGATCATGGTGTACAAGTGCTGGAACGTTTGGTGCATGGTGATGGTGATGGCAATCCCAAGGAGCACTTTGCGCCGAGCACTGCATGAAATGAACGCTGGGCACACAGCTAGATGGATCAAGCCGTGTTTTTTGGAGATGCCAAAATCAATAGGCCCGCTTTTGTAATGTCCAAAACCGAGAAGAAAGGAGATATGCATATTTTGGGGATTGCCAGGCCAACATTCATATTGATGAGAAGTGGTTTTACCTATCCAAAATGCAGAACGTGGTGTGGTTTCCGGTTGATGTATGGGTGATATACCTGCCGAGGCGCCTAATGAGGCTGCGGGGCCTTCTCTTCCAGATGGGTGGCAGGCTTTTCATGGTGCGCATGTCTTTGGGTATGTTGCATGAGACAAGGCCACGGGAATGGCTGGGCGTGGGGTGGTTATGCACGTAATGGGTGCGCGATACTGTGCAACCTGCAGGCGCAGCCGTTGGGGGCGGGAGAGCGGGCAGCGATGGAATTACATGCTGCCATGTGGGATCAGTCACATGACCCCCTCTCGCAGCGGTATGCAATTGAGAGATCAACACTTGAATGTAATTGTGCAAACAATATCTCATTCGCCTACATAATATCAATGGCTCTTAAGCACTGCCGATGTAATTAGCCATATATCCTGTACCCCTAATACGTTCAAGGTGAGACAAAGACACATAGAAACGTTAAAAGCCTCCTCTATCAGATTTAGGTACAATCTATTGTTCATTATCATTTCTTATTGTGCCTTTAGAGTAAACCAGCTACCCCCTATTGGTTTACACAACAGAGTAGGATTGAATATTCTATGATTGGGGGCACTTTGTAGCACCCAGAGTTTGGAGCAAATAGTTGATTCCCAAAATATGTTTTGACGAATGTGGGAAGGCTACCTACGAGGGTAGATGGCATTTTTTTCGAGGGCCCCATCGGATCTAGTCATTTTTTGTGAGCCCCTCAATTTTTGTGCAAACATATATGGTGATATACTGCCACCGTCCTCGGCCCTTCGGCATCCCGGAGCCGCAGCGGCCCCTGCCCCCAGGGAAGACACACATCCCCGTTCACTTCCCTGCCCATTCTGGAGGTTGCCGCACTGGCGCACGCCCCCACTATGTTTAGAGTGTCAACAAGTCCATAAATTGATGGCGAATAAAGCATCCATATTCGGCAAATTTTTTATTCCACCCCTCCCATTGGCAATAGGCAAGTGCCGACGGCCGGCAGGCGTTGAACAGTTGCAAGATTGCGGTTGCCAGTCGTTGGTGGTTCGGTTAATAGTAGCCATGACCAGTATACCTGTTATCAATATACTGCGCTATGCAACCCCAAGCTGTGCTCCGGGCTCATTTAGAATCCTCAATAAGGATCATGGTGACGCCATCGCTGAGGTGTGCACTTATGAATCTAAGCCCTTCCGCATAATAACGCAACGCCTCGGCCATTTTTAAGGAGAAAACTTCATAAAACTTTTGAGGAGCAACATAAAAAATAACCCTCTAAAAGAAATGCGAAGTAAGAGCATAGCGGTAGAACTATTTCAAGAGTGAGGATTGAATATTATGTGGTAATCAGTCCGTCCTCAAAGCGCTCTTGCAGCACAATGTGCAAACCATCATGGCATCGAAGGCGCAAAGTATTTCTAAAGATTGACGACATTTGTCTGGGCCCGATTTCATTTCCGACATTTGACCAAAGGAACGGTCGGGGCAT